TAGACCAAAATCATGAGAGAACTATGGAAATTCCAAAAAGGGTTTTACATATGTTTTCTCCATGGGAATGTAGCATCAAACAGTTATTACAAATAAAAAATAAAAATGACCTTTGTAATTTCTGCGACATATAAACTAAGGAAACATGAGAATTAACTGAATTACTGTGTATATCTGAATGTGACAAAAGCCACTAATCTAATCTTACTAATCAGTAATCCTAATTACTCAGGACTCACTGAGCCTTCCTGCAGTTCCTCACACTGTGGAATCAGTTCTCTCGTTGTCCCTCCAGTGATGTGTTGTTACTTCTTCGGTCCACTCATCCAGAACCTCCTCTGACATCTGCAGCATGTAGGCCAGAGCTGAGGCGTGGAATTTCTCCAAGAGGAAAGTTCCTTTCTCTTGAATCCTGTCTCCGTGACTTTCAGGACTTGTTTCTTGTATCCCTCCTGTTGTAATGGGAAGTGGGTCCGTTCAATTCTCCATTTCCCAAGAACAAGGGAAAATGTTGGATGGCTTTCTGTTCAGGGAAAAGAGATATTTTCATCTCTGTTTCATTCTTCTTTTTCAGGTTGGTTGAGTGGGCTCTCTGGGGTTTGATTTCTTGGATTCTGTTTTTCTTGTTTCTTGACCCCCAAGCAAGAAAAAAAAACCTCCTAAAATTCTCTGGTTGGACTCCAGAGAGAGGCCATGAAGGAAGCGAACAAACAGGTCCAGGTGCCATGTTACTTTCAAGGGATTTCTCCATGGCTCTCCTCAGGAAGACATCCAGAGATGGGTGACGGCTATCCTTGTTTCCAAAAATCTTAGAAATCTTCCAGAGAGAAGACTTTGAGTTGGAGTCACTGTGTTTGTAGTCTTTTCCCAGGAAAGCCTTCAGTACCTCTGTGTTTCTGTTGGGTGTAACAGTGGAACATGTAGACCGCAGCCAGGAACTCCTGAATGCTCAGATGAACAAAGCAGTAGATTGTTTTGGAAGATCACACTCTCTCTCTTGAAGACCTCTGTACAGACTCCTGAGTACCGAGGCCTCTGTGACGATCAAGACCACACTCTCCAGGTCTTCTTGGTAGAACATGATGCTTTCTCCAGATGTTCAAAGGCCAGCCTCCCCAGCTCAGAAGAACTTCCCTGTCAGCCTCCATCAGCTCCTGTGACTGGTCTCATGTCCCTCATCATATTTAACTTCTTCCTCTTTGTCTGAACCAGCAGGAAGTGTGAGTACAGGTCAGTCAGGGTCTTGGGCAGCTCTCCTCTGGTCAACATCGCTCCAGAACTGTAGCAATGATCCAGCAGAAGACTGGGACTTGAGACAGATATGGAGGCCCTGGATGTCCTGATGTGCGAGATGATTCTGCTGGACTGCTCTTCATCGCTGAATCTCCTCCTGAAGTACTCCTCCTTCTGAGCGTCAGTGAAGCCTCGTACTTCTGTCACCCTGTCAACACACGTAGGAGGGATCTGGCCGGCTGCTGCAGGTCGGGAAGTTATCCAGACGAGAGCCGAGGGAAGCAGATTCCCCTGGATGAGATTTGTCAGCAGCACGTTGGCTGATGACTTTTTGTGACATCAGACACAACCTCCCTGTTGGTGAAATCCAGTGACATCTGCTTTCATCCAGGCCGTCAAAATGAACAGAACTTTACAGACAGCGAGCTGCTCTGTCTCTCTAGTATGATGGAAAAACCTGGAAGCAGCCTGAGAAGACTGTGCTGCTCATTCTCTGATTAAGTTCAGCTCCCTGAACGAAAGCAGAATCAGCAGACTGATGTGTTGGTTCTCCAAGCCCTCTGCCCAGTCCAGACTGAATTTCTGCACTGAGACAGTTTTGCCAACACCAGCGACACCTTTTGTCAGAACCACTCTGATGGGTCTCTGTTGTTCAGGTAAGGCGTTAAAGATGTCATGGCACTTGAGTGGAGTGTCATGTACATGTCTCCATCTTGGAAGTTGTCTCAAGCTGCCTCACCTCATGTTGGGTATTAACCTCTTCACTCTGTCCCTCTGTGATGTAGAGCTCTGTGTAGATCCTGTTGAGGAGGGTTCCACTTCCTGCTTCACCAGTTCCTTCAGTCACATGTTCACAGCTTCTCTGCGTAGAATAACCTTATGTTCATCTAAAACCTCCTGCAGACCACTGTTCAGTGAGAGAGAGGTAACAGAGAAAAAAAATAAGCATGGTAAGTGATTACTGCAACACAACAAGTCCGTTTTCAGAAATATGACATCAGCAGACGGATATAGTCTTACTTTGTACAGTGCTGGTCTGACTGGCTGTTTGCAGTCCAGGTCTTGTTCTGGATCTTTGTCCACACTGGGGACAAGAGGAGTCTCCTGGTGAACCAGTCTGGTTCCCGTATGAGGTGATGCACTGTCTGCAGAACCAGTGTCCACAGCTGGTAGGGAGGGATCCCTCAGGATGTCCTGACACAAAGCACAGCAGGACAAACTGCTCCTCCACAGAAACACCGCTCCTCTTTCCCTCTCTGTGGAGGATGAACACATCTCTTTTTAAATAGAAAACTCTTGTCATTCTCATTCTTCTGCTTCTCAGCTCATTTTCAAGTTGTGAGCTGCAAGCTGCCAACTGAAAGACACAACTGTTACTTTTTCTGAACATCATAGCCAAACAAAAAAGTCTCTGTTTAGCCTTTGAGTTGTAACTGAAAGCAAAAACTAATTTAGATTTGATTATAAGATTCAGATTCAGTAAGTAGACTGGATAAAGTGCCATCAAATCCCCAACCCTACTCATATGCAATCTGTTCTGCATACACATAAGTGTCTTACTTTGTGTTTGAGAGGCTCAGGTTCACTAATTGAAGCCAGGATCACTCATCTTCAGTCAGTGTCAAGAAGTACACTCCTGCATTGGAGACAGGACACACAATAACATTTATTAGGGGTTGTAATATCCAGTGTAACAAATGAACGCGCGCGCATGAACAACTCTTAATATTATTTTATGAAATAATATCAATAAACAACTTCTATTTTAATTATACTAATATTTGTAAATAATTTAAGTAATATTTGATTGGTTTATGATTAAATAAGAAATAACTTTGGCAATTTCTATACTGTGAACACTACTACTGATTATGTTATCTCATTCTATAAACTGTTTGCGCTTCAGAATCAGAAAAAACGTCACTGATCCCCTCGGGGACGTTGCTTTGTTTCTTCCCTATACAGGATAGTTGCGCAGCTTGAGTTTTGGTCAAAGGAGTTGGTAAAGAGAATCAAGTTAAGAAAAGTAAAAATAAAAGTAAAAGTAAAAATGACAATAAAATTAGTTATATACATAGTTATAATCAATAAACACAGTAATGAATTAAAATGTATGAATGCAAAAAAAAGTCAAATGCTGTCGGGCTCCTACAATCACCAGGTATGGACGTGCAAAAATGGAAAGCAGAAATTATCTTGCCTTTCCTCCGTGCGACTCAGCAGTTAGTTTCACAAGACTTGTGACGCGTAAGAGAGGAAACATTACTCACGGTTGTCTTTCTGATGGGGGCCAAACTTTTATATCTTGCCAACTCAATACAAACTTCTTCGTGCCTCCTTTCGTGATTTCCTGAGCCGGTCTTGTGGCGAAGTCGACGCCTGCAGACTTTCACACTGTCTTTATTCTTCCGTGGTGATTAAATCCTGAAGGTTCCGATCTCTCCTCTCATATCATATATATACATCTGCAGGGCAGAACTCAAATTAATTTGGCTTTCCCTCGTGTCGTTAAATAATATCTCACATTTGTCGGACACAGATTGCAAACATATGTAAACAATTCCTGTTAGCAACAGCTGACACAAATATGGTTCCTAAAAAATGTTCAAGTACTCACAGACACAAATTAGAGGGTACCACTCACCTTATCAAGATTCAATAACTAATTATAATTAGGTTGTTCATCTTGTTGTTAACACAACAAATCATAAATCATACAATTTATAAATAGAGAGTAATACGCAGTTTGCATACATTGATGCGTGATTCATAGCAACTCAAGTTAATTGCCTAGCTATCAAGATCTACTCTATTATCTATAACTGGTAAGGCATTAATAAATGAACCTGGCCTTTCATGGTCTTAAGCTAGGTTATACTGAGGTATATTCAGTAAATGCCGCCCACAGTGTAGGCCTACCCATCTTTTTCGGATATCCCATGTCCGCCCCTGTGAATGCTTTGATCTGTCTTCTTAAGAAGACAGTCTGACTTCACCACTGCCACCAAGGCAGGATCACCTTAAAGGAAGTGAAACACTACACCACAGGTCAGTAGTAGGAAATGATACCCACCCACCACACCAGACATACATTTTGTGTCTCCTCCTCACGAGCCCTGTGTTGGACAGCTGTTGTTCTCTGACACAAGCTGTAATCCACAGAAAAGGTAAGATCATTCTCTTTATTCTCTATGACAGAACTAAGCTACGTATATGAAAACAAATACCCTTCTGTTACCCTACTACATTTCATTTGCTTGTATTATTTACTGGTTAGACTTTCAACAAGACAGCAAACATTAATTTAGTTAATGATAATTCTTTAAAGTGTCTGTTCAATATGTTTAACCATATTTCCCACAAATATGTTCTCATGCAGATAATGTAGTTTTGGTTTTGAGATCTCTGGCAGCAAAACGTCTCAGTGATGGAGACCTTAAACATCTGCCAAAAAAACACACCACACACTTTTACAGTAAAATCTAGATACAATTATGGACAATCAGATTGTCTTTTGTGTGTGATCAGAAGGATATGGTTATGTTTAAAAAATTCAAGACCTATGTAAGCTATATTGTACACTACTGGCAGAGGCTCTGACTGAAAAGTTGAACAATGAATAGTAAAAGACAGAAATTCTGGAGAATGTGGAGTTTTGTTCCTCCAATCCTGCAATTCCTTTTATCATCAGTGACTGAATGATAACACAACATGACAGTGTAGTGCTATATCAGTATTACACCTGTTGAAATCTCTCTCTTTTTGCAGAGATGCAGGGGGAGTACGGAAGTCAGGTAAATTCACTTCTTTGTAACTCCACACTGCCAGATTGTTTTTAATTTTCAAACTTCAGACCCGTATTCAGACCCAACTGACACTGACTCAAGTGACATGACTGATGTGGATGAAGATCAGGTCACTCTTTAATCTAATCTAATCTAATCTAATCTACTAATCAGTAATCCTAATACTCAGGACCAAGAAGAGAAGATTCCACTCAATCTGAATAAAGTATTAAAACATGTAGATAAAATGATTTATTATCCAATCAGATATGTCTTCATGTGCGTCGCTCTGAGTTGTTCTTTAAAATGAGTAGCCTGTCACCTGCTACAGAATCCGCCCAAATGTGACCACAACATTCATAACATTATTAACAACAACAACAACAATAATAATAGCTTAAGTAAAAATAATTGCAAGTTATTGGAAATGAAAATCTTAGAAAACCAACAGTGTGGTCCTTAAGCATTTCCTCCTTAACACATTTAACAGGAACATTCAAACCCAAGAAAAAAAATCATTTTTTATACTCTCTCCTCTGTCTCTCTCTCCCACAACACACAACACACACACCAACCACACACACCAACACACACCAACACGCACCACGACGCACACACGCACACGCACACACACACACGCACATAACGCACACGCACACGCACCAACACATATTTTAAGTAAACACACATTAGTCCTAACAGTTCACTGAGAAAATCCAATGAGAAAGAGAAATGTTTTTCTTTAGCATGTGAATTTGACTTTCTTGTCCAAATATTGACTCTGAGGATCTTCTGTAAATTGTTGTGATAAAAATGTATATATTTTTTATAACCAACACTGGACATTTTCTACAAATTATTATTTTAAAATAATTAGTCCCCTGGCTGTCAGAAATTATGTTTGGGAGTGTGTGAGTTCTGAAGGTTTAATTTAAGTGAAACAGAAATCATTCATGAAATTAACTGAAACTGGGGAGATGATTCTTAGTCTAATAAAAGACAAACAGTCAGTCAGTGACCTGACCTCAGAGTCTCCAGTCTACAGTCTGGATTTCTTAGACAACCACAAAGCTCCTTCACTCCTGAATCCTGCAGGTGTTTCACTCAGCTCCAGTTCTCTCAGATGGAGGGTTGGACTTCAGAGCAGAGACGAGAGAAGCACAGCTTGATCGCTGACAAAACAGCAACACCTCAATCTGTATAAAGAATAAAACATGTTAGATAAAAATCATTTACAATTCAATCAGACTTGTCTTAATCAATGAATTGTTTCTAGTAGAGAAGTAGAGTGATTTTGTCATTCTGTTATTGTGGATCATCATAATGTCATCCTACTTACAGACACCATCCAAATGTGACCACAACATTCATACACCTATTCATGTCAACACAGATTTCCATAACCAGTCCAATAAACATAAAAACTGAATTTCATCCAGATTGGCTGGATGGACATTAGAAGGAAAAAAAGAAAGAAGATGACATTTGGCTTTTATATTCTGTGGTGTGTTTGTCCTATATCTTTTCTTTATGTCTTTTTCATGGCCACTCACAACTCAGACAAAGCGGATTTTTGCAGGTTTTATATGTGCAGTATTATTCCTATTCAACGACCCCAGCAGAGTTATAGATTTTCCAGCAGGGACAGTGTTAGCGTGTGTGTGTGTGTGTGTGTGTGTGTTGTGTCATTACTAAAGATAAAATATTGAAATGCAACAGAAACAAACTATTTCTGCTTCAGGCAGCAAACTTTACAAATTTAAAACAAATATTATATCATCCACACAGATTCGAAAAATGAAATAAACTAAATAAAATAAATACATTTTTTTTAAAAAACTAGCAGTTGATATTTTTCATTGATCTAAGAAAACATTCTTTTTACAACAGCGGGCTACCATTCAGTACAATATGAAAAAGACAATGTGGACAGAACAAACTTGCAACTTTATGAATATAAGTTTTGTACGTACTGTATGTAAATTGGTTAATAGATGGAAATTATAAACATACGACGCTCTAGTCTAGTAACTGTCAGTTAAATGCCTCTCGGCCTCGAGAGTCTTCAGTCTAACAGTCTGGACTCCCCAGAAACCACACAGCTCTTCACTCCTGAATCCTGCAGGTCCAAGTTTCCTCTCAGCTCCAGTTCTCTCAGCTCGGGAGGGGTTGGACTTCAGAGCTGAGATCAGAGAAGAATAGCTGATCTCTGACATATTGCAGCCACTCAATCTGAACAAAAAATAAACCATTCATATTAATAAATCATTCAAAATCCAGTCAGATATCTTAATCAATTAATGTTCCTGTAAAAAGGAAAGTGATGTTCCAAGATGTGTCACCTCTGATAATGACGTGCCAAAATAAAGGCTTACACCTGAACATAAAGGACGTGTTGGGTCCTCACACTTGCCATTCAACTACGATTTTGGGAGATGCAAAGCACATCATAGGTTTGCTCCTAGCATGAACTAATCCTACTGCTTCCATGTCGCAAAACCTTTCCTCCAGCTAAGTTTTTGTCTTTTCTTTTTTGTTGCAATCTGAAGGTCTGTGGCTTTCAAATTATCAGCAATGCTGACCATGAAAACAGAACACAGTTACTGTTTCAACAATTACTTGGAAACAAATTAGAAAATCAAATTTATGGTGTCATGCATAATCATCACTTATGTGACTGTAGGTGTAATATTTTTTTGCTGAAGAGAGAGGCCTATGGTCTATTGGTCAAAATGGATGTTCAGCATTACCATGTGCCACCAGTACCAAATGAAATTTGGAGTTGAATTATATGAAGATTTAGAAAAAACTATGTACATTCTCTCACTGCTTTGTAAATCACACACAGGTTACTAACCGAGAAATAAGAAACTGAAAAGATTTGAAATAAAATATATAACAAAAAAAAAAAAAATCTCCATCAGCAAACTGACTCAGAAAATCTCCAGTCTAGGCAGTTTGCCATCTCCTCACAGGCAACAGCTGTTTAATTCCCGAATCCCACAGGCTGTTTCTCCTCAGGTCCAGCTCTCTCAGAAGGGAGGGGCTGGACTTCAGAGCTGAGGCCACGATTTCACAGTGAGTCTCTGAAAGTCCACAATCAGCGAGTCTGTGAGTGGAGAATATATAAAATTGGTTACAATAAAATCAGACATATTGGAATAAAAATAATATCAAAACAGGTCATAATTTGATCAACGTCTGCTCTTCACATTTGTGGTTAAGCTAATCGTTCTTATTGTGCTTGACATGAAACTATAATTGTCGTCACTCTCTCACACCTGCATACCTTTAATGTGAATCTTGGTTTTACTTCAATCTTTGCAGAAGACGGGAGGGGAAATGAAGTTACATTTAAGCTTCCATAATGTAATCTGATATTATTTTTAATTGACTCCAAAAAATTCATTATTTCTTATGTTTACACTAAAAATATAATCTCTCCTTGATAGCTCTTTGCTGCATTGTTTTAATTAATGTCATCAGACACTGACCTTTGGTGTGTGTGAGAAGACTCTGCTCTTATACATTCAGACCTCTGTTCTTCTGGCTAACACTGTGCATTACTGATTACTACTGTCCTCTACATGAACAAGAGAGAATGTCTTATTTAAGAGCATATGGAAAGACTTCAGAGCAAGACCATGAAACTGAAGGAAATAACATACCTCCACTCTTCAAAATTAAAAGTTTTAATAAACAATTAAAAAATACATTTGGAGGTTTGACATCTACACTCTTGTGTGGAATGACCAGTAGTTTATGGTGGCTAATATTATGTTTTTTAACTGTAAGGACATAATATTGTATAAATGACATTACTGAGCCAGTTCACTAAATATGACCTTTCCTGTGAAACTGTTACAACTATGTTTTAGCATTACCATTATCCCATAAGTGTCACCTTTACTTTGAGTGGACCATGTTTTGTTTCATTTGTTTTAAAAGGGGTTGAGACATCCCCTAACGTCCTCCATGCTCATTGTGACTTCAGTAACCTTTGGAATTGACACAGATCTTATACAAACTTTACAAAACACCTTGTAGAAACTACTTAGTCTAACTTCACCGCATTCACTGGTCACTGTAAAATACTACTGTGTATATAAACCTTATCACAACCTCCTAAGTCCGTAATAAAGTAATTCCACAGATTTATCATTACACTCTTCAAATTTATGCAGAGGAACAGAGATATCATCTTTTTTTTTTTATTTCAAAATTCTTCTCCTTGGCACCAGCAGCCTGCAACCTACAGCAGAGATGCGCAGGGAGTAGGGGAGGTCAGGTAATTCACTTTTGGTAACTCCACACTGCCAGATTGTTTTTAATTTTCAAAACTCAGACCCGTATTCAGACCCAACTGACACTGACTCAAGTGACATGACTGATGTGGATGAAGATCCGGTCACTCTTTA